TAGGGCTTAGCTCGTAGCTTCATTGCTATTTTTCCCTCACTTCCCCTTATTGGTGACAAACCAAAAACAATTTATTGAAGAGACTTTTCTTTTCCCATCAAGTGAACTGAACACTCTTGTCAAAGATTCGTTGCTTATAGATGTGTGGGCTTATTTCTGAACTCGTAGTTCTGTCCCATTGGTCTGCATATCTGTTGTTATACCTGTCCCAGGCTGTTTTGAATTCTGTAGCTGGACACTGAAATACAACCAGAATGTTCCTTAGAAGGAGGTTCCTGGAAAAGGACATCATGCTTGGTAAAGTAGAGGGTCAGTGAAAAAGAGGAAGACCCCCCAATAAGATGGACTGGCACAGTGGCAGAAGCAATGGCCTTACGTGTAGCAATGATCGTGAGGTTGGCACAGGTCTGGGTAGTATTTTGTCTGTTGTGCATAAGGTTGCTGTGAATCAGTACTGTGGTTCTGTGGGTTAACACGCTGAACTAACTGCAAAGTCATTTGAACCACCAAGGTGCCATCCAGTTGGTTCCAACTCACGCTGACCTTCGCACAACAGAACAAAACACCGTATGGTTCTGCACCATCCTCATAATTAACTACGTTTGAGCCCATTTTTGCTGCCACTGTGTCAGTCCACCTTGTTGGGGGTCTTCCTCTTTTTTTCTAACCCTCCTCCAGGGACTGGTCCCTCCTGACAACATGTCCAGAATACTGGAGATAAAGTCTTACAACCTCACTTGAAAGGAACGTTCTGGCTGTTCTTCCAAGATGTATTTGTTTGTTCTTCTAACAGTTCATGGTACTTTCAGTATCTTTCGCCAGCACCATAATCCAAACGCCTCGAGTCTCCTGCAGTCTGCCTCATTCACTGTCCAGCCTTCACAGGCATATGTTGTTGTTGTTGTTGTGTGCTGTGGAGTTGGTTCCGACTCATAGTGACCCTGTACAGGGTTTCTGCGGCTGTAAATCTTTACAGGAGCAGAAAGCCTCATCTTTCTCCTGTGGAACAGCTGGTAGTTTCAAACTTCTGACCTTGCAGTTCACAGC